TGACTTGCGTTTGCAATGGGTACGGAGGAGCTGACATCAGTATAGGGAAGCGTTCTTTTAAAGCCCCAAAAGTGCGTTCAGATGCATTTCGTAACAATGAGTGTCGCTGATTAAATAGCTCTTTCGCATCTTGAGGGTGATAACCACTAGGAAACTCCGTCGAGTGATAAGGTATACCAGGATATGGAGCAATGAAGCCAGGCATGTTTGCATACTTGTTGTCCACGAGGTAGTATTTACCTGTTACAAGTTTTGAACCCAACAGTGCTAGTAAGATTCAACAGTAGCTGTCAAAGTATTAACAGAATAAGGTCATTTCTATATTTTTCCAAACAAGTAGACCACCATGTATTGCATACATAAGAACCAGCATTTTCCAATTCATATATATTTTTGACAGTACATTTATTTCTAGAAATGATTGTCTAATAGCTAAATATAATCCGAAAATCTATTTAAACAGCATGAATTTAGACAGTTGAATACTTTCTTAATGACTATCATATTAAAAAGAAAACGTAGTTTTCTACGTTAACTGGGTGTTCAATAGTCCAAGTCAGGTTAACAATACCTTCTGGCATCTGCAATTTGTTTCGTCTTGTGAGAGCAGAATTCAAAACTTGCAAATCTGATGCAGAGCCTTCCCAACCAGCCAAGACATAAAGGAACTTGAGATCAAATGAGCAAGCAGCAAGAACATTTTGTGAAAGTAAGCCATTCTTGTCGCGGAAAGGTCCTTGCTCATCTACGCCCACCATCACTGGGAGGTGTATGCCATCAACTGCTCCCACACAATCCTATAGGATAAAAATTTCGAATTGTAAATCAATAGAAACGAGATACAAATCATACTTAGTTACTGTGGGATTACCTTAAAATATGGATAGAATCTAGGATCTTCTGAAATTTTGGGAGGAACATCAGATCCTGGAGGCTGAAAGAAACCTAACGAAATTGCCATTACTGCGTTCAAGACATTGTTGAAATGACGACTGATGGTTTCTCCTGAATAACGGAATAACTCTTGAACAGCTCGAGTCCGTAGATTATGACCAATTATGAACAAGAACATGGCCAGTTGCTCTTCAATCTTGATTCGATTTGTGTGACGCAGAAGGCCTTTTCCTTGCAAAATATCACACAACTTGTAAAAGACGTGCTTATCCATGCGAAAGTTTTCTAAACAGCGTTCATTTTGACCATTAAGGACTTCATCTATAAACTTTGCACCAGTAGATGATGAATCATGACTGAGCTCTTTCGGTATATAATTCTCATAGACTGCATCCTTTTCATCTTCAGAGCTCTCCATTACCAACTAACCTTTGCACAGCAATGTATGCATCGAATATCAGCAAGTATATGGATGGAGGTCAAACATAAAGAAATGTAAAACAAAAGGAACAGATTCTATGTTGGAAGAGAATACAACAATGCGAAAGTGCCGTTTAACAACTCTTGCCAGCTATATTATATCAAAATACATTATTTTCTAAACGAAAAATTCATATATGAACAAGAAAGAGCGTCAACTGTCAAACCCCATCATTCACAGAGGAGTTGTTTCCTCATAAGAATTTGTGAAATCGATACTTTAGTGAATCACCTTAAACATGAAAATTTATGAACCACCGGGAAAACCAAGTACAGTGATTTATACACGGAGAAAGACCATCTTTGAACTATGCTGTGGCTATAACACGACTTGACAATTCAACACACACAAAAAAACAAGAAGATAATGGGTATGAAACAGAAAAGTCTGAAAGCAAAGACTAAGGGAAAAACCTCTAAACACAAAAAGTGAAGAAATGGATAAAATACTGCGCATAATTTACACCCAACTCAACCCTCAACTGATGTGAACCTTCATTTTAACCAATGAGGGAGTCACCTGCATCAATCTTTTCTAAACACTCTTCCCTAGTCACGGTCATTTTCATTGCTACACTCGTATTCGTAAGAGAAGCACACACGTGCATCCACACACACACAAAAACAAGGTTCTAAGAAATGGTAGTACACGAAATGCGTACTTCATTCGCGTTACTACAACAGCATCAAAAGCACAAAAATATGAGCATCCAATAAAGAGAGGAGACTAAGGGCCTGTTTGGTACTCTACTTGAATCCAACTTTTTAAACTCAAAAACAATTTTCAAGTTTTAGGCCTTAAAAACTTGTTTGGTGGGACTATTTTAGAAAACTGAACTCAAGACTAACTCAAAAATATAGTCTATTCTTTAAAAACATAAAAAGTGAGTTTTTAAACTTAAACTCACTCATTTCTTTTCTCTCATTCCTCCCCTTTCACTCCAAATCTATCTCTCTTTTCTTCTTTCTCTCTCCTCTTTTTTTTTACCTTTTTCAACTCTCATCCAATCCGCTCTCTTCATTCTCTCTGTTCTTTCTCTCACTCATCTTCCTCTCTATCTCGTCATATCCTCTCTCTTGTTTCTCTTTCTTTCAATCATCTCTTACTTTCTTTCCTCCTCTCTCCTCTTTCTCCCCCTCTGTTAAGATCTTTTTGTCCACTTTAAGTCGTAAGATTTAAAAATTTTAAATCGCAAACCAATCAAATTTTTTAGTCTTAAAGAAAATTGTTTTCAAGAAATGTTCTTACGAAATGATAAAAAATTTCAAATAAGATACCAAACAGGCTCTAAAGTACTAGCTAATGCCAAACCAAAATAACACAATCACAGGGTAGCAAATCATCTATGCAGCAAACCGCGAAAGTTGTCCGAAAATTTCATCATACTCGAAAACTACAGAAACCCAGAATCTAAGGTGTAGACCTCACCAGCTGAAGCATCACAAACAGGAATTACACATTCAAACGGACATCAACACAAATTGACGCAAGTCTGCTGAAGTCTATAATATCAAATAACAAATTCACCGAATGTAAAACCAATTCTTACAAATTCTACTTACAATTTGAACGAATTAAACAAAAGATTAAACTCCAAGTTGAACGAACAAAATTATCATCGCCATTAAACAAAAACCAGATGACAATTTATCGAAAATGAACAGCCATACCTGCAGAGAGCTGGGCTACTGCAACTTCAGGAGGCAAACGACGTCGTCTTCGGCGAAGGATTGGATGGACCGAGAGAAACGTGTGTAGGATGAACAGAATCGTTGGGTTTTTAAATTTGGGGGAGTTAGTGAGTCTACTGAGTGACGTCACATTCTCCGTGACTCTGTGCGCGCTTTTGCACTTTGCAGTCTCTCTCTCTCTCTCTCTCTCTCTCTCTCTCTCTCTCTCTCTGTCAGTCCTGTGCAAACTTCAGACTGACTGGAGGCGGAGGGCTAGAGGAGGAGGTGGAGGACTAGAGGAGGAAGCGGAGGAGGAGGGAGGGATTTCTCTCTCTCTCTCTCTCTCTCTCTCTCTCTCCCCTCTCTCTGTGGATTAAAGCCCGATTTCGTGGGAGGCCCAAGTTTTTTAAAGAGTGTTTTCAGAAAGCCCAAATGAATCCCTCCATTCTGGGCCCAATGAAGGCCCCAAACTCGACAGGGACTTGGGCGTAATTAGGGGTGGTTCGGTATGGGATACCATACCGAAACTAGTATCCCGAATCCCAAACCAAAATTTTTCAGGACGAGAATTTGAAGACCAATCCCAAACCAAATTTTCGGGAATCCCAAATTTCGGGAATCCCGAAATATTTTCGGGATTTTGGGACAAATCGGGAATCCCAAATTGAAATATGAAATTATGAATTGTTCTTCAAATATATAATTCAAGAACACATTCATGAACTAGGAATTTCATTTCATTCACACTACCATTTAATTGAACATTGACATGCCTGACTGTTTTTATCATAGTCAAAATTCAAATTAATTAAACCCTTTTTGCAATCTATTGAGAGACAAAAGAATCAAGCCTTCTGAAATCATCCGCCATGGCAGCAGTAATAATAAAATTCACATGAATATCAAACAGAACATGAAAAATATGCAAGGTGTAGGGCATGCCGTTGCAGAGCATGAATTAGAAACTCCTAGCATCAATTATAAAAGAATAATAAATATATATATGTATAAATATATATATATATATATAATAATTAATATTATATATTTTCGGTTTGGTATGGGATTCCCGAAATATCGAGAAGCCAATCCCGAATCCCATACCGAAATTTTGGGATTGGTTCGGGATAGCATCCCTAAAATTTCGGGAATTTCGGTTTGGGATCGGGATTTTTTCGGTTCGGTTCGGGATTTTTGGGAATTTTTTCCACCCCTAGGCGTAATGAGGACGCCAAGGTGACGTGGTCCCAAATGCAATGTTATTTGATACACGTTTTTGTTTCAATGGTTTTCAGGTGTCGAACTTGGTTAAGCCACACAATAGGTCATTAGTAATTTAGATTTGAGCTTGTCACTTATATTGTTGAGAGTATGAATTCTTTATTGGGAAAATGAGTAACCTTGTATGTGCTTATAAGAAATTAAGTTACTCTTCACATTGTCAATTGGTTCACATTCTTAATGGTGTTAGAGCAGGTTGTCCCATGTGTTAAGTCAATGGCCACACATTGCTCCACGTTACTCGATTAATGTTGTCCATGTGGAACCTGTATGAGCTAAGAAGTTATTTTTCTCATCCTTATAAGTAATTGAACTACTGTTATGTTGTGAATTAGCTTTTTTCCTTTTTTTTGGTAAATTACATTTTATCCCCTCCAGTTTGGGCGAAATTACAACCTTGTATAATATCTTTAAAATATTTCAATTTCATACATTTACTATCATTTTATTTTAATATTATACATTATGTTAAAAAATTTGTTAATTTAACCGTTAAATGATAACGTGGCATATATGAATAATGAATGAATGTGCTTACATAGCTGCCAAATAAAAAACAATTAATTAATAATTAAAAAAGCCACAATGGGCCCCACCAAGGTGCAATTGTCACGTGCTGGCGCGTGACTTGGACTGATAGAGGATAATTGGTTCAAAGTACACCGGGATCAGGATTCAGGAGAGAAGTTATGGAGTTCAGGATAAACTAGGAAACAAAACGACAGCTTCTGGGACAGATGACGTCACACCCAACAACTCAAAACCCGTACAAACATTGACAATCGTCAGAATCCAAAAACCTCACCATCCCTCTCTCTCTCTCACACCCGATCAGAGGAACACCAACAACGACAACAATGGCGGATGCGAACCAGAAACCAGAAATCTTCGAACTAAACAATGGAAGCATGCGCGCCCTCATCACAAACCTCGGCTGCACCATCACCTCCTTGTCTGTTCCCGGCAAAGACGGTATCTTTCTTTCCAATCAGATTTCCTTTCTTTCTTCCCATTAATCTATCAACATTTTTTGTGTTTTTGATCATCTGAAAATACTTTAACGGAAGACTTAGACGCAAAACCAAGCATCCTAAGATTTGTATACGCCGGCCCCACTTAGTGGATAAGGCTTTGTTGTTGATGTTTTGATCATCTGAAAAATGCTGCCGGTGTTTGTTTGGATTGTTGGTTGGTGGATTTTGCAGGAAAATTGGCTGATGTTGTTCTTGGATTTGACTCCGTGGATCCCTATGTGGTAAATTCTTTCACTTTTTCTGAGAACCCTTTTGCTTTTTGATCATGTTGGTTGAGATATCATGCAAAAATTGGTTCTTTGTGTGTGGATCTAATGCATTGATCAGCTGTTTTCATGGTAAAATCTGGGAAATTATTTGTTAAAAGTTATGGAATTGTTGAATCGAAACGAAGAATTTTGGAGATTTGATGTTAATTGTACGGTTTTATGGCGCAAGTTGTTTGTTTGTTTTGGTTTTTCACACTTCTATATGACAAACATCGGTTATGAATGTATTTGATATGTGCTGGGATTTAGATGTTGGATCTATGCATTTGGAATGGGAACGATGAGATTGTTCTAATGTTTTTGTTTTCATCATGTGTGATCAGAAAGGAGTTGCTCCTTACTTTGGCTCCATTGTGGGTCGGGTTGCTAATAGAATCAAAGATGGGAAGTTTACGCTCAATGGAACGGAGTACTCCTTGCCTGTCAACAGACCTCCGAACAGTCTCCATGGTATGGAATTGTTACTATCGGATTTTATTTTTACTACTTTTCGATTAGCCTAAATTTGCTACTGAATTTCATCGAGACATGAACGAATTTTGAATTTTGTCATCTCACTAAGTTACACATAATGGATATATGGAGTTTTTTTATGAAGAAATCGGATGGTTGTTATTAGATCATAACTGTTTTGTGTATATTGTGTCTGCAATCCCCACACGTTAGGTCTCAATTCCAATGTCTTCGTTTTTCACCAAACAGACGTTCTTTTTGTTTAAGTAGTTGTATCAGTAATTGTTGTGTTTTGTCGCACTGAATTCATCCTGCTGTCTTATTAGGTGGTCACAAGGGGTATGATCAGCAGATATGGGAGGTAGCGGAACTTAAAAAGGGCGATAACCCGTCCATCACTTTTAAGTATCACAGTCAGGACGGTGAGGAAGGTTACCCCGGGAATCTTTCTCTGACTGCAACTTATACACTTACTTCAAGCACGACAATGAGACTTGACATGGAAGCAGTGCCTGAGAACAAGCCCACCCCAGTCAGTTTAGCTCAGCACACCTACTGGAACTTAGCTGGCCATAACTCGGGCAACATACTTGACCATGCAATTCAAATTTGGGCAAACCATATTACCCCTGTGGATGAAAACACAGTCTCAACAGGTGAAATCAAGCCGGTTAAAGGCACCCCCTTTGATTTCACTACCGAGAAGAGGGTCGGTGAGTCCATCCATGAGGTCGGTTTAGGGTATGACCACAACTATGTGCTCGACTGTGGGGAAGAGAAAGAAGGCCTGAAACATGCTGCGAGAGTGAGGGACCCATCCAGCTCGAGGGTCCTTAACCTATGGAGCAATGCCCCTGGGATGCAGTTTTACACCGCGAATTATGTCAATGGGGTTGTCGGCAAAGGAGGCGCAGTCTATGGAAAGCATTCCGGGCTCTGTTTGGAGACGCAGGGGTTCCCAAATGCAATTAACACACCAAACTTCCCGTCCATTGTTGTTCAACCCGGTGAGAGGTACAGCCACACCATGTTGTTTGAGTTTTCAGTTGAGTGAAGTGTAATACTCGTCGATGATGAGTAATAATACACGGCGAGATGCTTCTGTTTGTGTTAAGAGTTTTAAGAGGTTGTTCCCCCTATCCATTTTGTGAATGACTTTCTTTTCTTGGCAATGAAATGCACCGGAATCTGCATTTTTTCCAGCCATGGAAATATTCGTTTAAACATTTATGTATACATTTCGTTCTTAAATGTTGCTATTTATTATAAATCAATAGCTTACAGCCCAAGCTTAGATTCATAGAACATGTAATCATTCTTGAACATCTCACTTATAACCGAGAACACCCAGGACGTCCTATAACAAGATAGGCCGAACATGAGGCGGCTGATGAAACGCGACCAAGCTCAAGGGTCGGCAACAAGCAGCTCAGTTCTGGCTGTAAATGTGTTTGATTGCTCGTAGAGCCTACTAGCCTTTTTCCACGCCCCTCTCACCGTGTTCGAACAAGTTCAAGCGGTAACGTTTCCATTGCAAGCTGAAATTAAGAATGAAAAGAAACGAATCAACAGAAAAAATTAGATGGAACAATATATACCAGAATTTATAAAAAGCTGAAGTGATGCTTGATTGCTTACCCATAGCCTGGGAGTTGTAGGATCGGATTTTGATGGCATTTTCGCTATGTTCGACTGAAAGGTTATGACCACGGCAACTTTAAATTCTATTGAAAATGGACTGCACAAAGAGCGAACGAAGGTTTTGAGTTTGGAAACCTCTGACAATTACGATAGAGAAAAATTGAGGAGTGAATCATCTAGTTTGGAACTCACCCTGCTAAGACGGTAGGACAAGTCAAAAGACGAGGAAGTATAACGTAAATGGGCATAGTCATACTACGACAGACATCTCCATCTGCTATCTGATAGAGGAAGAGGAAGCCCCAAAAAAATTGTTAACAAGAAGTAAATTGAGTTAGATACGCTAACAAGATGTGAATGCATACCTGTGTAGTCTGAACCAAAGATTGTTCAGTTACAATTCTCTCTCCGAGAAGGATTGACTCTACACGAAGCAAGTGCAAGTCAATGGAAGATATCGGAACTGCAGATGCTTCGACTGTTAGTTCACCAACAATGGGATCCGATAGCGAACATTGGGTAGACATTTTCCCAATAACACGGAATCCACCTATTCAGCAATGCCTCTCATAAGTATGGTAACAAGCTCCATAAATTAGAAAATGCAACGCAGCTAGTTTTTATGTGGTAAAATCTTTTCATATGCGTGCAAAAGAAATTGAATTTTACCATTAAAAGTGAAAACAATACTTCAATGTTTTAAAAACGCTAACTAGAAAGCGAAAGAATATCACATAATGCAAAGTGAGAAGCCAACCTGACCTTAGTTCAGGAAGCAGCGGATGTCTTTGAGTATCCTGAGTAAGGTAAAAGATAACCATCTCCGGAGAAACTGGTCGCTCGAGAAGATCAGCTAAAAACCAAAATATAACCAAAACAGTAACTTCAATCAAAGTGTTGATATGAAATTAGAAATAAAAATTAAAAAAACCAAATAGTAAATGTTTGAAACCTACCCTTATCACTTTCAACTATGAACTCCATTGTTGTAGATAATGATTTGTGTAGGTAGCCTCTCGATATATCTACGGTTAGTAAATACTGTGGAACAATTTATAAATCATCAGGTTTCGGACAAATATGGAGCGAAAAGAAAAGACCATTACCAAGGTGGGATTTCGGAATTGATATTTTTGAAGATAATAGAAAACAGCACCTGAATGTTAATATTTCCTCCATGGAAGGTCTCATAGAACCTTTCCAGGTTCTTTTCTCCCGGCTGCTTGATATTGATGGAAAATGGAATCTGCCAGAAATATGAACGTAATTTGCAAATGACAAAACAGGAATTTGCATACAACTAATAAAAAAGAAAATATTCAAGCTTTATGAAGATCAAAGTAGCTTTGAATGCACATCAGGATTTATACAGTAACTCGAAATGTGAAAGAAGCGATGGTAGACAAATTCACTCGTACTAAAATAGAAAGAAAGGGGGCAACTGAGTCAAGACCAAAAGTACTACCAAAAAAAGAGAAAGGAGACAGATAAAAGACACATAAGTAAGCATTAAGCACTTCAAAATAAAACTGTTTCAGGAATAAGGGATCATAAAACGCTTATCCAGCACACGGACAATTTCAAATCACGAAATCTAGTCCTCTACAGGTGCATCTGCAAATCTTGCAACATTTGGCAATCACAAAAGACTTGTACACGGTTAGAATCTTTGATTTTTGAGGACAATAACTTTTCACTGGCGGTACCATTCAGATTTGAAATATGACAAGAGTTTCAAAGTTAAGGCTGTTCGGAATTCAAAAGCACAGTTAAATTGACTTGCTTTCATAGATACCTCTGATGTGCCAGAAGCAATCTTCCCAGAAGGTCTAACCTCAATAATTTTATTCCTGCTTCGAAGAGAAAGAAAACCAAATCAGTTGCAGAACAAAGAAAGTTTCATCCGAGCCAAAGCGGACAAATGCTTCGCAAACAATCAAAATTCGAGTTCAATCTATGGAAATCTCTACATAATTTGAAACAACATAGGATTATTTTCATCAAAATTTCAACAATGCACCTCAAACTGTACAATTAAAACATGCCTAGCTCAGAAAATAAATCAATTTTTGTAATTTTAAAGCAACAATCGCCTCATCCAACTAAGTGGAATTGGCTGTATGAATCCTAGAACGCCACCAGCCTCAGTTTTGCGCCAAGTCTTCCGTTAACTTCAAGTCTCCATACATTATATGCCAATTACAATGATTCAGTTGGCAAAAAAAATCCGAAAAGAAAACAATAAAATCTTGACTCACACAATGGAAATAGGCTTGGCAACACCAACCAAAGACTCGATAACTCCTGCAGATCCTCCACGAACCTATAAAAAAAGTTTTTTTATTGTTTTTTTTAATTTTTAATTTTCCATTAATTTGATCGGAAACTAAGCGGAGGGAAAAATTGGAACCTGCATGTTGACGGATCCGTTGACGGCGAGGCGAATTCCGTAGTGGGAGATTGAAGAAGACGACTTTACTACGATTTTACCCTCAATAAGTTCCTGAAATTACAGATGAGAGAGAGAGAAAGAGAGAGAGGAGTTGCTGAGGAGAGAGAAAGCAGGTACAGTAGAGAGAGAAAGAGAGAGCAGTTACAGAAGAGAGAGAAGTTACAGTAGGGCGATAGACACGATTGATCCGAGAAAGCTTGAGCTCTATCGACATTGTAAACGACGCCGCAGAGCAGGTGGCGGGAGGAGCTCTCTGCAAGTCAGCAGCTATGGCGGGGCGAGACTACATACTCGCTAATACTCGTCTACATCCAATACACGTGACACAATTGTATGTCTGATTAGGTGGCATAATATTATTGGCCAAAGTCGGAAATATGGTACGTGGCAAAATATGATTCGCCACATGACAAAATGCTACGTGGCAAGTATACAAAACTAACTTTCGTTTTATCCCAATAATACCCTTCCGCTCTCGACAAATTCCTAATCGTCTTCTTCTTCTTCATCATCTCCAGAAGTCTGTTAGCATTTGGCAACCGCAATGACTTTTGCAGCTCGAAGGCTCCTCTTCTCTCTCCTGATTTTCTCTCTCTACCCCCTCTCTCTTTCCGCCCGTCCCTTCATCCTCGTCCTGACACAAGACGACCTCCTAAACACCCCCGCCTCACCCGACGACTCGCCGCCCGCCGCCGACTCAGCTCCAAATGACTCCCCCGACTGGGACGAGTTCGGCGAATCCGCCGCCGCGCAGTCCGAGGAGGAGCTCGACCCGGGCTCCTGGCGCCCAATATTCGAACCCGACCCCTTCAAGCCCGACCCGGCCACCCACCCCGACGACGGATACTACTCCACCGTCTCCAAATTAATCAAGTCCGTCAGCTCCGGAGACACTGCCCTCGTGGACGAGGCCATTTCGGAGATCGAGGACTCGGCTTCCCGCGGCGTCCCCCACGCGCGGTCTGTGTTGGGGTTTCTGTACGGTACGGGGCAGATGAGAAAGCAGAGCAAGGCCAAGGCTTTCACGTACCATTACTTCGCCGCCGAGGGCGGCAACATGCAGTCGAAGATGGCCCTCGCGTATACTTACTTCAGGCAAGATGTACGGAATCTCTTTCGAATTTGATCTATCGATCTCTGTTTGGTTGCGGAGTTAAAAGGAGCAAATTGGAGGATTAATTTTGGTGTTTTCTGTTCGGATTTTTGTTTGGTTTTGCAGATGTTTGATAAAGCGGTGAAATTGTACTCGGAATTGGCCGATGCAGCTGTGAATAGCTTCCTGATTTCGAGGGACACGCCGGTGATCGAGGCGGTGAGGATCCACAGCGGAGCGGAGGAGAACAAGGATGCGTTGAGGAAGAGCCGCGGCGAAGAAGATGAAGACTTTCAGATTTTGGAGTACCAAGCTCAGAAGGGAAACTCCGCGGCAATGTATAAGGTCGGCCTGTTTTACTATTTCGGGCTGAGAGGGTTGCGCCGCGACCATGCCAGGGCATTGTCGTGGTTTCTAAAGGCATTGGAGAAGGGAGAGCCTCGGGCTATGGAGCTCCTCGGAGAGATTTATGCTAGAGGAGCCGGTGTTGAGAGGAATTACACCAAGGCTCTGGAGTGGCTTACACTCGCAGCCAAACAGGATCATTTTTCGGCCTACAACGGAATGGGGTATTTGTATGTTAAAGGATATGGGGTGGAGAAGAAGAACTACACTAAAGTAAGAATGCTCCTCGGTTCTATCTCTGTGTGTATCTTAAAGCTTTATGTGCTTCTATATTTTGTACACATTTTCGATGGTGATCCCTGCGAATGAAATCCCACATTGTTAGTTGTAATAACTTTTGAGACCATTTTTCCAATGTTGGGTTCGTTCTGATACGTTGATAGGTGGATTCTTATGTTAAAACGACTCCTTTTCGTTGCAGGCCAAGGAGTATTTTGAAAAGGCTGCTGATAATCAAGAAGGTGGCGGTCACTATAACCTAGGAGTAATGTATCTCAAAGGAATTGGGGTAAAGAGAGATGTTAAACTTGCGTGTCAATACTTTATAGTTGCTGCTAATGCTGGTCAACCTAAGGCATTCTACCAGCTAGGGAAGATGTTTCATACTGGAGTCGGGCTTAAGAAAAATCTTCCACGGGTAAACTCGCTGTATTTTCTGTTTGTTTAGTTTACATACCGTCTCACTTTTCTGTTCGGCATTAAGAAAACAGAATATGCAAGATAATCTAGATTTTGTGATGATTAATTGGTTTGTATTTGTTGAAATGAAAAAAGTTACTTTGCTATTTAATTCTAAGTAAATGATGTTAAAGATGCACCAATGCACGTATGCACTAATTAATTCCGATTCCTGATTAAGATTCAATTTGTTTTAGGCCACTGCATTATACAAATTAGTTGCAGAAAGGGGACCATGGAGTTCCTTGTCCCGATGGGCACTTGAATCATACTTAAAAGGGGACGTGGGCAAGGCATTTTTCTTGTATTCAAGGATGGCCGAGTTAGGCTATGAGGTAGCACAGAGTAACGCTGCATGGATTCTTGACAAATATGGGGAGCGAAGCATGTGCATAGGCGAATCCGGTTTGTGCACTGATGCAGAAAGGCATCACCGGGCACATTCCTTATGGTGGCAAGCATCCGAGCAGGGTAATGAACATGCTGCTTTGCTGATTGGGGATGCATATTACTATGGTCAGGTAGGTATCTCATGCTGAAACACGTTTGTTACTGCTCTAGCTTCGGGATGTATCTTTTGAATAATGCAGCTTGATCTCGCCTTGACTATTTTTTTTTTCCTTCTTTCTTTATTAGGGTACTGAGAAGGATTATGAACGAGCGGCAGAGGCTTACAAACATGCCAGGTCCCAGTCTAATGCCCAAGCCATGTTTAACCTTGGTTACATGCATGAGCATGGGCACGGGTTGCCTTTGGATCTTCATCTTGCAAAGCGTTACTATGATCAAGCCCTAGAGATTGATTCCGCAGCAAAGTTGCCCGTCACGCTAGCCCTCGCAAGCTTATGGATGCGAAAAAATTATGCCGACAGTTTCCTGGTAAGTTCTTTTTGTTTTACTTTCCTTACTGCCTTCTCATGTAATAGTTGCGGTCAATCACTAATTAGTGCTATCTTGCAATTTTCAGTCGAATAATTTTAAGATTCTGAAGGCGCAGGCATTTTTGTTATGGCTTGGACCTAGGTTCTTTTTAGTGCCATTTATACTGCTATCTGCCGGTTCTAATTTTTTCTAAAAACGTGGAAAACTTTTCAGATTCATAAATCGTACTCCTAAAAAAATTCTTCAGAATGTTTGAAATCGTTATGTTATTTCATATGAATTAAGTCTAAACACTGAAATAGTCAATCTCTGCTATCCAACACCTATTTGGAGTTAAATGGGCATCGTCCTTTGATTAATCAAGGTGATAAGCATGAGCTTGCTTTGGATTATAAAGCTTTGTCCCCGGGTTTTATTCATTTTCGGAATCTTCATTCATTTGTGTTTTTTTCTGGTTTTGGGTCCGTATGTAGGTACATATAATCGATTCATTGCCTGAAGTCTATCCCAAGGTTGAAGAATGGATTGATACTGTGCTACTTGAAGAAGGAAACGCGACAATATTGACTCTTTTTGTTTGTCTTCTTACTGTCCTATATCTACGTGAGCGACAACGCAGGCATGCTGTTGCTGCTCCGAATGTGATTGCCGCACAGCACCACCCAAATGAGCATGTTGCACCTGCACCCATGTAGTTTAGTTGGCAACAGTAGTCTTCCAAGAACGACGCGGCTCTTCCATCATTTATGAACAAATCTTTACATTTAGAATACAATGTACAGGTATCTAATGCTGGGTAAATTGATTTGGCGATGAGCTTTTGATGTTTTGGGACAAATTGTACCATATAGAGATTTGAGCACGTAGGAATGGAAGGTGGTGCGTTTGCCTTGCATGTTCGAAACCATGTTTAACCTCGTTAGATTGCATTCGTCCCCGAGAAACTTAGCTGAATGTTTGCACTGAAAATCTGATTGTTCTTGAACTGTGAAATGTGTGGTGATATATTAATATACACGAAAACATACACCGAGCTGCATCATATACAAAAGCTGCTTGACAGAATACACAAAAGTTCCCAAAAGCTGCTTCCAGCATGCGTCTCCAACCATGCAAGCGGTTTAGCGATTCAGGCCGCCACCACTTTGGTGCCAAAAATCCGGTAGTGCAGATTTCCTTGTTGGTCAGTTTCGGATTTTAGCCAAACTTGTACCCAAGGGGGATTTCTACGAGGGTCGTCTTGCACCCCATCGTTGTTTACTCTCACTCCTAACAAGGCATTACATTTGATCTCCAATGCCTTAACAGAGGACTGGCCATCGAAAAATTTCACCTATATCATAAATGAAAACGATGATCAGTAGAAGAAAATATCGTGGCAAAAAGATGGATTACAGTCTGTCCGAATACAAGTTAGTGATGAAATCGAATTCTTACCCCATCTTCTGCATACAAAAAAGCATGAATTCTAGCGGTCGAGTCCTCCAGAGTCAGCCTAATTCTGTCAATCCCAGCAGGAAAGAGGAAGTCCGCAGCCTGCCATGGGGAAGCTGCTATGACTCGAACTACACACTTGAATCTAGCTGGAAGCTACACAGTATGGAATGCATACAGTCAATAAACATCTATAAAACAGTGAAAAAAAGAAGCATAAATAGGCATCTGAACAAGAAAGCAGAGGCACAAATTAAGAGCTGCGTGAAACAGGTAGGATACCTCTGAACTTGCGACAACATCCATTAAGGTAAGAAATATTGCATGGTCGTCATCACTATCATCAACCTCTGAGGGAAATAAAAATCATAAGTGAATTTCAAAAGAGATAGACCGATTTTTAGGAGTTGAAAGAGAGAAGCGAATGAATAAGAAATCGAAGATGAATTCATCACAAGAAAAAAAACAGTGCAGTACCTGTGACTTGAGGAGACGGAAAGCCCCCAAACGGCATCTGCATTAAATTTTCTGGACTTTGGGCTAATCGTTCATTAAATATCCTGATCCATAAAAAATATGCAAAGGGATATCGCATTAGAGATTTAGCGAGTTCTGCAACATAATGATGCAATGCATGATGATTAAATGCTTTCCAAAAGTTACAACCTTTTCCGCTCAAGTTTGAGACGGTCCTCTTTTGGTGTATATCGAAGCTTCGTAAAGGGTGTCAAAACACAACGCCATAATCCTGCATGCACCTCACAAAGCAAATTTACAAGCTTCACCCACTCCCCAGTTTTTAGCAGGCGAAGGTTGTCATTCTCAAGGTCCTGAGATATCACTCTTAAGACAGTTCCAACTGCAGGAAAGCTGCATAAGGTATCGCGTGGCAAAGGAAATGGTTCTAGATGTAGGGGAAGTGGGTGCTTCGTTTCATCTTCTAACCTGTGGTTCATATTTAGCGGTATTTAATATTTCTCAGATAAATATACAATACAGTTACCATATAGATAAAACTAAATTAGCTTTCACAACTAACAAACATATATATATAATTATAGGCACGGTCCAGTAAGGTGATGCACTAATGTCATAACCATTACATGGGTTGCAATTCAAGAAGTTCACTATTCTCCATGAGAAAAAACACCAACAAAAAATCGAGAACAGAATATCGTGGGAAGTATGTTGAAGGGATCAATCACTTTATATAACTTCAACCTAATTCAATGAAAGGAAAATAACCCCCTTCTTATTTTCGAAGACAAAAGGAAAGGACTCGTTTTGGTTTTGTCTGGCAAGACGGGGTGCAATTGCAAAGTACCCCATAACTATATGATGATATATTAGAAAAAATAAACATTAACAGCTATCAACTCACTTTTGAAGAATATTAGCTGGTGAAGCATCGGTTCCATCCCAAACAAAGGCCATCCATTCATTTCCAGCACCCTCGTGGATATGAATTATCTTGAGATAGAACGCAAGGAAAAAAGTTATGTTGTACTCAGTATATGGCATAATCCCATTCTTGGTACAGCTGATTATCCTTTAAAAAGAAAAAGAAATCTGCTGTATTCATTTAACCAGTTCACACAAATTTAACAAAAATGGTTTACTTACTTTACAAACCAAATTAAAATCTTCACCTCCCTTCATTTCTCTGATGAATGAGAAATAATTTGCACCTACAAACCATATACATTTCTAGTAAAGATAAGATGAAAAAATAACTAAGGCAGGCTTATGATATACCTCTATCTACCAAGCAAAAGAAAGTACCTATCTTTTCTCATATATACAATTAGGTCAGAAAGTTGCTACAAATCTATCATCCAGGGAGTCCAATAATTTGGACAAAGTATTTGGCAGCATCTCTAGAATCATAACAGTATGGTGCTTCCTCTTCACAAACCATTCAAGCGGATACGTGAAAAGGACTTAGGATTACTATATACTTCTGCCTCAAAAACCAGAGCAAAAACATGAACCCCTTAGCTCAAATAATGCCTCTTCACGAAAACTTACACGTGAGCAAGCTATCTTTACGAAAACCTAATCCAGGTGGAACTATCGTCAACTACCATTTTCATAACCATAATTCATGCAGCACATAAGAATCATATCCATAGTCTTTCATCAATAACCACAACATTGTAATATATACTGTGAACAGGTTAAACTTATACATAATTAAATGCAGTCAACAGTTACTATCTGAAACAACGTACTTTTAAGTATACCTTCGTGAAAATGGAAATTCGTCGACCATCTTCTCAAGTCTATCAAAAAGTTCTTGTCATGGTCTCTCTCGCGAAATGTTTTGGAAGCATGATAAGGACTTAAACTTCTAGCATCACTTCCGTAATAAATAGCAAAGGTAGAGAACTTCTTGGAAAAAACAGCATTTACTTTATCTACATGACGTTTAATCTGCACAAGGTAGCATGCCCAAGTCAAATACGATCATACTTCGTAATGTAATGTCTGTCAAGGCCAGAGGAGCCCTTGATTTGTACAGAACGTTTCATGCCTTTAACAAAATGGAGTAAATGATGCTCCATAACATTATCCGTTTTTATAACAGATAATAGGTAACATTATGATAACAGAGAAAACATGATTCAATAGGGAAAAGGAAAGCGGCAACATTTGCTTGAGAAATCAGCAATTGAAGAATCCCCGGAAAGAAAACTCAATGAAGTTAAGCTCAAGATATACCATGATGCGTTGGAACTGAATTATGTCTCCAACAGATAAAATGCGAGGACACTCACTCCTATCTGTAAAAATGTTAACTGACAACCCGGGATCCTGATGCGTCTCGTCGATTATCCGCACCGAAACAAACCAATCTGCGAAAGACTCACACCAATACATAAATAACAAACAGAGAAGAAAAATTTGCATCCAAAAGCAGAACAAAAAATAATTAATTTAACAAAAAATAAAAAATAAACACAAAAATATTTAAAGACCCAGAGAAATGGAACAAAGGTAACAGGCGGCTCAGCAAACAACACCTTTTCGTTAAGAGTCTCATCAATCTACTACCGACCTTGCCGGAAGCAGCCGTAAGTCCGGCCTTTGTTTCATCATCGCCACCACAAATACACACACACACAACACATATACATATATGACATACATACATATATCTACATATATACACCAATATAGTTGTAAGCACATTACATAAATTTGATAAATTTGACTGAAGGAAGAAGATTTACCGGTGCCTCTGGATCGGCGGGGGAAGCCGCACTCGAGGACGACGCCGATAACGTTGACCTTCGCGCCGACGGAATCAATGGCGTCCCTGATCTTCGTGAAGTTATAGTAGTTACCACCACCACGCGGCATCTCTGTGTGAGTATTTCGGTTAGCCTTGAGAGCGAGTAGAGTGTAGAGAGCTCCTGCTGCTTCTAGGGTTTCTATGGAGGGAAAAGGGCGGTTTTTAATATATAAATAGAAAATTTTAACCAAAACTCCCTAAAAGTTTCAGCATCCTTTATTTTAATGAAAAATCACATTTTAATGTTATTTTCTTTATTTTTTATTTTATATTTATTGTTAAAATTTAAAAAATTTCAATTTATTTTCATTAGTTTTCTTTATAAATAAATCCTTGTGTTGTCTTTGAGATCATTAGCCGTATTATATCAAGTATTTCGGTCATATATTTACCGAACTGGTTATGTCCTAATAACCCTATTTCGTTCGGCTAGGTGCCACCGAAAATCCCTCTTTATATTGAAGTAAGAAACGAAAGTAGAGGCGAAAGCCTTTTAGAAAAGACTTGTCATTTTTTGTAAGAGTAAGATCTTTCAAACTTTGGCATAAAAAAAACTTAGAAGCCTTCTTGGCTCATAAAAACGCTTTTTTTTTTTTTTTTTTTTTCAAGAAGCATCATTGGTGTACAACATGTTTAAAATAAAAGCACTTCTAACAGAAGCATTCGCAAGTACAAGTACTTTCAAAGAAGCAACGAAACAGGGGGAAAACATTATTCATATTTCACTCAGGGAATAAAACACATGTGGTACTTAGACCTGGTTTGGTACTGAGGTGATTTTGAAAAAAGCTGCTGTCAAAAAAAGCTGGGAGCTGTTTTTGTGTTTGGTAAACACTCAGCTTCAGCTTTTTTTCACAGTTTTGGATGAAAAAAAGCCAAAAACAAGAAGCTGCAAAACCTAGCTTTGAAAAACTGGCTTTTTTTCACATCTGTTTTACATAAAAGTTTACCAAACACTCTAATACTGCTTTTTTTTTTCAAAAGCACTTTTACAAAAAAGTTTACCAAACACTCTGCTGCTTTATTTCACAGCTGCTTATTCTCACAGCACAGCAAAAGCAGCTTTTTTTCAAAGCACAGCAATACCAAACCAGCCCTTAATATTTTACATTGTCAAGCTACCGAGAAGCTTCAAATCACAAGTTCCACTGATCAAGTAGAGAAAGCTGCTCTGTTGCGATCAGTTGGCTGCGCGTTTGAGCAAAACAAACAAGCTAATTGACGTCAGTGGTTTGAGGACGGAGGAGGATTCTTCGAGTTTCTTGCTAAGCGAATCAAAAAGCTCATCCAGAATCTCATCTCCAAAATGCTCCCGAAACATTCCCCCCATTCCGGATCTCAAAGCAGATGCAATTACGTTGGCCTGTGGTTGTTCCTGAGTCAAGTTTTCCATTCTTTCTATGCTGAAACATCCATTAGCTTTCACAATCGCTTCCACTTCATCGAGCGAAGCCATATACAGCGGTATATTGAAGGAGTCCAGTTTCTCTTCAGAGATGACACCCTACTCAGGAAAACAAAACAGGTTCTCAGTTATACCAGCTTAAGCAGCGTATATTTATCTTATTTACACCATACGATCACAGCTTGAACCGTCGAGGTATGTAGTCAATTACAAATTGCATCCCGAGGTTCCAATTTTTTTGGATTGAACCCCACCATTTTGACATTTGACACCTTCTGTTAGGTTGACTATCAGGTTAACCATTAACTGTTGACGTGACAGCCTAAGACCCACTCCCAAAATGGCCTTGGGGTTTGGGGGTGGTTCCCGCTCTGTCACGTCACTAGTAAACAGTTGACTAAACAGTTGGTGAAAACATGTACCTCTACATTTAGTTAGTGCTCTGGGATGCAAATCTATGAAGCTGAATTTTTTTTTACCTTGTTGGCCATGTCCATGAGGCAGGATCCGATGAGTTCTGCCACCTTGTTGCCGAAAACTTGTGTATGAGGGACTCCATTGGGGCGGCCTGGGACGACAAATGCCATCAACACACAATCTCTTGTGCTCTGGCATTTAGCAAGCACGCCATGTCCTTGGCATACTGAGCTTCATATGCCTTAACGACTTGGTCTTCCGAATTCGAGTAATAAATCCTCCCTTTGTTCCAAGCAGGCGAGTTGATGTCCGCCACTTCTTCTGGCATTTTAGAAAGACACTGGAGAGCATACGAAGAGTAAACAAAGTGAAGAAAGTCCTTGGGGAACAAGCGAGAATGAAATGAACCCGGCACGCCTGTGGCGTAGTATCGCCTGTCTGCAGGCAGAGATCGGAAGAGCTCGTTGAAATCGTTGGAGACGTGATCGTTGAAGAAAACATGCAACTCAAGGAGCTGAGAATTGTGTCCTTGGCTTTGGTACTTTTGCTCCAGAGCATCAACTATGTTTTGCACTGCCAGGAAAGTGTTAGGCCCGACAGAGCAGCCTAAATCCGTAACTCGAAATGCGTTTGAAGACGAGAAGCTTTCGATGTCAAGACGTTCGAAAACTGCTTCGTTGATCAGTTCCTTAGCAGCATCTATGGCTTTTCTCTGCACAAAAGAGAAGCTTTGGCATAAAAATTCTTGAGACAGAAGAACCCGTTTGGAAGTGATTCTAGAGAACCAGAATCACTTTCCAGGAGAAGCACCGAAGATAAATGTAGTGAATAGTAAAAAAAATTAAAAAATAGTAAAAATGTGATTTTTCTTTAAAAATTAACACTTATGTAAGTATTTCGTTAAAACTCTCTTTTAAGTGATTTTTACAAAGAATCGTCTCTCGTGTGCTTATTCCCAAAAGTTCTTATAATTCACAAAACACTTTCAAACAGGCCGAAAAGAAAAATTCGTGAGATAACGTTGTGCTATATGGACAGAGATCCCAGCCGGATCTCACCCTATCAAATCCTAAGGATTTGGAGACCTAAACTACCCTTCTAAAAGTGATAATAATTGTAGTTATTGGATCAAATTTTAAGGATTTCGATCCTTAAAACTTGGTGGGGGAGATCCGGTTGGGATCACTGTCGTGCTATATAATTGAGAGTGACGTTACACACCTGAAAAGTTGAGTTTTTGCTGTAACTGTAGAGGCTGTCTCCACCGTTCACGGTAAATGCCACCGATTTTGCCATCTCTCTCTCTCTCTCTCTCTCTCTCTCTCTCTCTGGTTTTATGTTTGGATTAATCGATCCTCTTCCTTTGAGGTGGCTACTGATATTTATTCCGTTCGAAATACGAAATATTTGTCGTAGGTGTGAGTTAATTAGTTTTTTAATGCAAATGGAGCCACTAATGGAGTAAAATGATGATCATGGAGCTGCAAAAAATATATTTAATTTGTAGCCGTAGCAAGTGGGATTGTTCGTATGAATTCTAGAACGTCATTGCACTCAGTTTTATGTTGAGTCTCTCGTTAGCTCCAAGTACTTGATGTCTTTTCTTAGAGTCTATTTTCAAGTCTTCCTAAACCTTTCTCTATTCCTTTTACCCAGATTATCTGTCTCCTAATCGCATCTTTTAACAAGGACACGTAAATTAATATTATTTTATTACAAACAACTACTGTTCATCAAATTTGAACTCAAATTTACTTTACAAAGTGAAAACTGAGTGCTACTAAATCAAACTATGACTATGAATGATATATAAATATCAACAAACCACCCAATAGAGCGAGCTGCAGCATGTCATTAGTGACCCATCATGCTTAAGTTGAAAGGGCAAAATGTAGACATTATGTGGTTATATTTGCCCAAAGTCAAACAAAATGTATTCATTATTTTGTTCTATGTCGACATGTTAAACAAAGTCAAACAAAATAATGCCGCCCAAATTCATTATTTTGTTATATTTGGTTATATTTGCCCAAAGTCAAACAAAATGCAGCGTGTTATTACTTAACCTGTCAATGCATAAATTGTAGATGATTTGCCTAAGTACTGGTTTGGTACTAATGTCACATCTCGATCCGGGACGAATCACTTTTCGGGCCCACTCTACCACCGTAGCACGATATTGTCCGTTTTAGGTCCCAACCACGCCCCCACGGTTTTGTTTTTGGGAACTCACATGAGAACTTCCCGATGGGTCATCCATCTTGGGAATGCTCTCGCGTGCTACTTGCTTAACTTCGGAGTTCTCATGGAACCCGAAGCCAGTGAGCTCCCAAAATGCCTCATGCTAGGTAGAGATGAGAATATATATATATAAGGATCACTCCCCTGGGCGATGTGGGATGTCACAATCCATCCCGCTTAGGGGCCCGACGTCCTCGTCGGCACACACGCGACCAGGGTTAGGCTCTAATACCAAATGTCACATCCTAGTCCGGGGCGGATCACTTCCCGGGACCACTCCACCACCGTAGCACGATATTGTCCGCTTTAGGCCCCAACCACGCCCTCACAGTTTTGTTTTTGGGAACTCACACGAGAACTTCCCGATGGGTCACCCATCCTGGGAATGCTCTCGCGCGCTACTCGCTTAACTTCGGAGTTCCCATGGAAGCCGAAGCCAGTGAGCTCCCAAAAGGCCTCGTGCTAGGTAGAGATGAGAATATACATATAAGAATCACTCCCCTAGGCGATGTGGGATGTCACAACTAAGGTGCTTTTATAAAAAATGGGTATAAAAAAAAGCTGAGCTCAAAAAGATGTTTGGTAAACACTTAAAAACAACTTATTTTCATAGTTTTGGATAAAAAAAAAATCTGAAAACATGAAGCAGCAATACTAAGCTTATTCTCACAACACCGCAAAAGCAGTTTTTTATCAAAGCACAGCAATACCAACCAGCACTAACTCTTGCTAAATTAATCAAATCAAATACCAAAATAACAGCATGTCATAGATCATAAAGGGTTGTTCTTCAAGTTTCTTACTATACAAGTCGAAGAGCTCGTCGAGGATTACTTCTCCGAATTGCTGCTTGATGACTCCCTCCTGTTAGTCTTCATCTTCCATCTTTACCAAAGAGTATCTGGTCGCGATTCACCGCATGCTCTCCTTTTATGGGTTTCCGGACATGGGAGTCTTTCCGGGGATAAGAAAAAATAACACAAGAAGCCAGAAACTGTTGTTTTTTCATCTAATGAGAGTAGAAAACCTTAAAAGGAACACCTTCCCATAGAAACTATAAAATCATTGGTCACAAACGGTTCCTGTCCTTGGCAGTGTATAAGCTAAAACCGCAGACAGTTCACGAGAACCACTCTGCCATCTATGTAGTCACTAGCCTGATATGTTACGAAGTGCTCAATGTTTACCGTAAGCATGTCACGCGCATATCTTCATTGAAAACAATGCCTTTGTTCCTATTAACAAGACACTAGCGTGGACGCCTCCACATCTGCTCCTCGTACTCAGTAGTTTCTTCTTGAGGGCGTTTACAGTTGCACTTCAGGCAAACTGCGTTTCTACCATAATTCATGAAATCACATCTGCATACAAAATCATCTTGTAAATATCCAGTTAACATTAATATTAAATCTAAACGACACCTCACACACACACAAACAAAGAAAGCGGAAGAGAGGCTTACGAGGGGCAGTCCCAGTCTGCAGGATTTTTCTTGGGCCGGGGATCTTGACAACGCAAACACATCCTATTGCTTGCGAAATTCATGAACGCACACCTGAAGAACATAAGCTAAGTGATCAAATAGAACTTTACTTAGGAAAATAATTAGCATACTCAGTTTAAATAATTTAGAGTTGCTGAACTATTTTGGTTGTCAGGACAAAAGGAATACTTACTTTGGGCAAGTCCAGTCTCCTTTCTTCATTTCAACTGCAACTGTACCGACTCTTTTTGGCCCTTCAGCTTTGCACTTTAGGCAGCGTATATTTCTAGAGAAGTTCATGAAACTGCATCTGTAACAAAACGCAACCTTAGATACGTGAAACTCGGAACATGAATCATAAGACCGTAAAAAACTGGTAACAGCAACATTAAGCACTCATGCAAAAGAAGTGGCTTACTCAGTGCAGATCCAGTCACCCTTTTTCATTTCGATTTCGAGATCACCCGAATCAGCTTTTCTTGGGCCATCTTCTTTACATTGCAGGCATCTTAAATTTTTAGCAAAGTTCATAAAATTGCACCTGCAACAAGATAACAATAGCAAATCATGAAACTAGTACGGTACTAACTGCAATAATAATCATTCCCGAATTAAAGTATACAAGCTCCAACTGTGGATATTTCACAAAATTCACAGGAAAGGAGACGGATATATGTCACTGACATAGTGTTACCGCCGTAAAACCACACACGCATGCACATGGAGCATTACTATAGTCATCTGTCACAACAAACAAAACAAGGAAAAAGCCTCCTAACTTGAGGAGATAACCTCCTCCGATCAAGTCATAAAGCCATACAAGGTACGAGATGACCACAATAACTTGGTGCGACTTACTTGGGACACATCCAATCTCCTCTCTTCATTTCAACATCTTGAGATAGTTCATCACCAATGAAACTTGGATAATTTTTCTTCTTCTCAATAGCTTTGGCAACACGCTTTGGAAGTGATGGGTCAACAGCCGTTTCGCTGAGTTTAATCAACTCAGAAAGCAGCTTCCTTGCAGATGTTTCTAGAATCTCTCTACCAGGCGGCTTCTCTCCCTCATAAAAAACAACGGGATCCAGCGCATAAAACAATAGTATTCGCACTATATCCACTGTACGTGCTGCTGCTTCAGATTCCTTAAGAATCACATAAGCTCTATCACAGGAACCTCGGAGATTACAACCACTGCAAACCTGTAAGAACCATCCAGATCACAATAAACAATTCTCAAGGTTTGCATAAAGAAATTCCTATAGAAACATTGAAAAGAAAAGTGATGGATAATATAACTTAATAGGATATAATATATACACATATATATGTATATGTATTCTATCGTCATGTTGTAAAAGAGTTTTTATGTGTATGGCCGCAGTTTCATCGACAACTGTAAGCATAAATCGGGTAAATGAGAGTAATTACCTACCTCTCCTTCATCTAGTCTCAAATGGAATCTCAATCTTTTTGCAGAATTCACAGCTTTCCGGAAAAGATTGGGACATCCACCCTCCACAACTACTTGAATATCTTCCATAGATAACGATCTGCACAAAAATCAAATATTACGGAATGTTCAATAATAACTCGATACAACTCGATCAAAATATGAATTATGTTATCGGAATCTTCTTCGCATTGCTGCAGAGAAGCTTTTGATTCATCCATATCACATAACTAACTTCCCAACTCTCACAAAACAGCTCCGCGACCGTCAAAGTCTCACAACCCGAAAATGCAAAAACCACGATATTCCTACATTCTAAGGATTTCCTCATTGTTTTCGGGGAAATCTATGGTCATAAAGCTGCATTTTAAATCCATACATCTCAAGGCATAATTTCCAATTCCTTGCCAATTAGCACAAATAAATACGCAAAATTCACATCTTTGTATTCCAAAATTTTCTTGGCAACCAAACAGGCAATAACATTTTCTCGGCAACAAACAGAGCAAAACCCCAAATCAAAGAACCTTACTTGAAAACATCATAGCGGTCACGAGCAAAGCTGAAAGAGGCCTCCTTTACTTCATTTATATCCGTGTAAACATCGCTCTCCTTCGGCGGCGTTCCGGTGAAGTACCCCTTGGCCTTCAAGCGGTCGACGAAGGCCACCCACTCGGGCCAGGGGTGGTGCGGCGGCGGCGCTTCTGTGCTGTTGGCCGGGATGGTGTCAATACTTTCAATTGCATCCGAAGAGGAGGCGTACCGGGGGAAGCGCAGTCCGGCGGCGACGGGCTTCAGGGAGAGAAGTGAAGGGGTAGGAGGAGAGAGAGTTCTTGTGGGAGCGTGGAAGAGTGAGGTCCCAAAACGCATGAGTTTTGAAGCAGCTGACATTTACTCTCGAGATTTTTATCTTCTGGATTTTGTTGTGAGAGAGAGTGTGTGTGTTAATGAAGTTTGGAGCGTTCGGGGAAGAAGAAGATGATGATGGTAACTGGTAAAAGGTAAGGGTCTTGTCAAAGTGAGGAACTTTGGGGGTGATGGGTTTAGAGAGAGAAAAAAAAAATTGAAAATTAAAAAAATAGGAGATTTAATTGAAATTAAAAATTTGGAATACAGATACGTTTTACCGTAATAACAAAAAAACAATAATACTTATGTAACTTAGTGAAAGTTTGATTTCACCGATTTTTCTTATCATAAAATTTAACAATTTAACCTACTAACGTTATTATTTGTAAAAAGATAAAAAAAAAAGAAGCTTTTTAGCCTAAATAGATCATTGAGATTGGCATAACTCTTCACTTTCGTCTCTGAGGATTAAAATCGATAGAATTAATTATGAGTTTGTCCACTGTCAATCAATTTGATCGGTGAAAATCTCCATTAAATAAGAAGAATGACAAAAGTACCCTCTACTTTATCAAATCAGTTTGGCACATTGTCTATTAAATTGAGAATATTTTTGTTATCTTAGTTTTTATTTAATAAATTTTTTTACCAAATCACCAAAATAATAGATGACGAACAAATTTTACAATTAAAAATGAGAAGGTATGTCAAACTAATGGACGGATTGTGGATTTGTGATAAAGTCACAGCGAATGAAATTCAAATTTTATAATTTTTTGGCCTGAATTTTTTTTTGGTGTGTGAAATTAATTTTTTTTAGTTTTAGTAAGTAAAAGAAAAAACCACACAGTCATATAGTACTATGATTTGATGATATTCTTTTTCAATGAGAGATTGAAGATTCGAATCTCAAACGAATTCGATACCAAATTAAGTTACTTGTTGTGTAGTTTAGCTGAACTTTTCATTCTCTTAATGTTAAAAATATATCAATGTATTTAAAAAAGAAAAAGAAAAAACCGCACAAATAGCGGGTGATTTGGACACCCAAAACCCCACACAGTTGGATCGCAAACCCGACTTAAACCCTTCTTTCTCCCCTTCTCCGGAGTATTCTCCCACAGCAAATCGATCGGCTTTCTGCTTTTGCTTTCAAGCCGGTCCACCATGAGAAGGGCTTCCACTCTCGCCTCACTCCCCCTCCTCTCCCGGTCCCTCTCCACCGTCCACGGCGGCGCCACTGCCACGTCAGCCCCCGCCACCTACGGTCTTCTCCAGGCTGCTCTGTACGGGACCACCTCCACCGGTTCTCAGCCTCGTCGTCGATGGCTCGATTCGTTTTCCGGAGGTTCGGGTCGGAAGCTGGCAATTGGCGTCGCCGGAACTCTGGCCTCGGTCGCTGTCGCTACGTCGCTCGCTCCTGAGGTCTATGCGAAAGAGCCGCCTCCGGCTGCGCTTGTTCCCAAGGAGGTCGTGCTTTACCAGTACGAAGCCTGCCCTTTCTGCAACAAAGTTAAAGGTAAAAATTAAATCTTTGCTTGTTGAATTGCTTTGGAGATATTGTGTTTCTGTTGATCTTGATTATTTCGTGGAAGTGTTTAAATTTTTCAGTGAATATCGAAAAATGGATGAGATTTCGTGATGAAATGTTGAATTTTACTATTTGGTATGGATGAAACATTCATTTGAATTTCTCTGCAGTTATAGCAGTTACATGTTCATAAAAGAACAAAATTTTACTTTGTAGTTCACACTAGATTCTGAACCTTCGCTAAGAATCAAACTATTTGGACAAAAAGTTGATCGAAACAAGCATTCGAAACGGTGCCACATTTGGAGTTTCTTGAAGTTATTAAGATCACCTTCATTTTTTCCTGTTTTGTACATTTTAATTTGTTTAATTGCTTCTATAATAATATCCAAAAAAATGGTTATTATCGTGTTGTTTACGAGTTGGGGTACTTTATTATTGTCTCAGCATTCTTGGATTACCACGATATACCCTACCAAGTTGTGGAGGTCAACCCACTTAGTAAGAAAGAGATTAAATGGTCCGATTATAAGAAGGTTCCGATACTGATGGTGGATGGGGAGCAGCTGGTTGACTCATCAGGTACCTGTTCTTGTGACTGTTCTTAAATTGTTTGAGTTTTTCGGTTGGATTTCTAGTTAGAGTAATGTGATCTATGCGTTGTTGAATATATAGCTGCTATAATTATATATCTCGATTAAAATTGAGCATGTGCCTGTTTGCAGCTATAATTGATCAGTTGAATAGCAAAATTGTTCCTGAGAGAGCAGCTGCTTCTTCTTCAGATGACGATGAAGAGAAAAAGTGGCGCCAGTATGTTATCTTTTCCTTGGCTAGCTTTTTATGCTTATATTCATGTTTGGATAAAATGGGAAGAATGGTATGATTATACTGTGAGTAGATCTAGGGAAGGTTGCCGGCTGGAGCCACTGAACCATAATCTTAATGGGTCTACTTATCTAAGATACAAAGAAAAAAGGGAGAACGCTGCAAGTAGTACTCACCCTCGTAGTAGCTTTTTACAAGAATAGGAGAATCCATAATCTGATGACTACTTTGCATTATACTCGTCTCAATTCCCTTGGATTAGTAATTTTGCAGCACAACTTGCCGGAGTCTTAGAGGATTTTTATTGTGCCGAAATTTTATAAATGGGAAATGAGCTTGGATACTTTGTCTGAAATGGGCATTATCATTAATTTTTTGTTAACTTCAGCGTGCTTCTTATTGTGGTATAGGTGGGTTGATAATCACTTGGTGCACATGTTGTCACCAAACATATACCGAAATACATCGGAGGCCCTCGAGTCCTTTGACTATATCACAAGCAATGGTAAGTTGGTGACTAGATTCCATCTTATGCACCCAGATTTTATGGGCCTGCTAAGACAATCTTCGTTACCTTCTTCAGTTTGTGTACTAATTTTTACTCTTCAGTTTTTTCCCGTTGCTCTTGAGCATTAGATTTTGCTGGTTATTTGTATTCTGATTTTAATTTTGCTGTAACTGCAGGTAATTTTAGCTACACCGAAAAAATTGCAGTGAAGTATGCTGGTGCTGCAGCTATGTACTTTGTGTCAAAGAAATTGAAGAAGAAATATAATATTACTGATGAACGTGCCTCCCTGTATGAAGCAGCAGAAACATGGGTTGATGCTCTTAATGGGCGGGACTTCCTCGGTATGTGCTCTAACTTGTGGCATATGCACGTTACAGAGATTGCATTCACTAAGTGACACTAACAGAAATAGATAGATGCATATGCTTATGAGAAAATAAATTAAATGAATACTCTCGACTGTGATATGATACTGGAATATTCTCGCACAAGTTTTGTCTAGGAAGAAATCAAGATCAACTATCGTTGATGAGAACGCTATCATTAGCATGAATTCTCTCAAACAATTTGAGGTCTATTTGATGGCTGACTTGAGTTTTGGCGCATGAGCCTCAACTTTTTGCCTTGGGTGAGCCTTAGTAAGTAAGCTATGGGTTCTCACACGTATATGTTTCTCCTGTCAGGGGGCTCCAAACCTAATTTGGCCGACCTTGCTGTTTTTGGGGTGCTAAGACCAATCCGTTATTTGAGGTCGGGTAAAGATATGGTGGAGCACACAAGCATCGGTGAATGGTACTCAAGAATGGAGCAAGCCGTGGGAGAGCCTGCAAGGATTAAGGCGTAAATTGGACATCCCAACGGAGTTTGTAGCTGGGTTCTATACTTCATTTTTTGAGTTTGCCGCATCTGTCACCAGAATTGATCAGATACTAGGAAGAAAGAATTTTCCGGAGGCACTCGCAGTTATAAATTGATTGAATACACGCAACGTTTTGTGATTATTCGATTGTTTGGAAAGTGGAGATTGTTTAGTGTTCCATTAGATGTGATTGTTTAGCAGTATAAGGAATAAGAATTGGAATGCAGGGATTGTCTTTGTGGGTAAGACATTTCTCTACCATCCACTAAAACTCGGGTTTTAACCCTCATTCTTTCTCTTAATGTAGCTTAGAAAGCTTAAAATAGTAATATTGTTTGTAATCAAAGATAAATAAAAGTTGATCTCTCGAGCCGCTTGCTCCTTTCCATATCCGTATCATAACCTTAAATCTACAATTCTCCGTCGTTGACCCCTTACTTTGGCTTGGGACCGGTAGTAGCCTCTCTCCCCCTCCTCCTAGTCTCATCCTCTTTCCTTTTTTCAATCATCCTTACTCTCCATCACACTATGGTCCTTCCTTTCGTTCACACGTCGATGTCTGCTTTTCTTTTAATTTTAATTTCATGCGTTATTGGATTTGATTTACACTTTTTTTCTTTTTTTTGAAGAGAATCGATGTTTATTGAAAAACATAACAAACTGCATAATATCTTGACCGAGAAGATCTTGAATAAGGACAGGAGGCTCCTCAAGCCAAACAACTTAACTACTAATGGAAATGGCAAGCTTAGCTAATTTATGGGCAAGCCCATTACACAATCTTGGAACCTGTTGAAACTGAACAGGATGACACGCCAAAACTGCAGCCGACTCACCAACCGAAGGCCCTCCAATATAGCTTGAAACTCCACGTGCAATGCCGACCCAATCCCCTCCTTCCTTCACACCCCTGCTGCAATTAAATGCCCCCTCCCATCCCGTAAAACCACCCTCACTCCCCCACGACGCTCCTCCAGCCGTGTTGCCCCATCGACATTAATCTTTAGCCTCCCATCCGAGGGAACCATCCATTTGCGCTGGGACACAGGACGTGCAACACTCGGAACCATCTGGGCAGCAAGGTAAGCTCCATAGGTGACCCTCGCTGTTCCTCCCACACCCAAGAGTTCCGAGCTTGCCATAAGCCCCAGAGCAACATACACAACAGTTCAAATTTCGACTTCTGATTCTCAACAACCGACAGCAGCCACTCCTTCCCCCGTTCCGGTAAAAGATCCACCCCCACCGTAGACCCTCTCCACACTTCCAGCGCAAACGGACACTCCCTGAACAGGTGCCCCTCCGTTTCAACACCCCCTGAGCATAGCCCACACTCCAAATTGAGATGCACCCCCTTCCGAGCAAGATTAACTTTAGTCGGAATAATGTCCTGACTAAGTTTCCATATGAAAATGCTAACCTTAGAGATGAAAACGCATTACCTCCA